AAATTTTAAAAATGGGAAAGGGATGAATACATTTTTTGAAAAGGAAAATATAACTCCTGGGGGAGATGCATATAAACCGCCACGTCTGCCTCTCTCCCTCTTTCCTAAGCTGTGAAAGTAAGAGATAAGGAGAACAAACAAGGTGTGAGAATGCCAGTCCCCTCCACTGATCGCGTGTCTATAACATAAGCTTAGTTTCGTGGTGTTGCCACTGCAACTTGCATAGTCCTTTGTTTACAAGGGTTGACAGCGTTTCCGGTGCCAGTGTCTGGGGAAGCCAAACAATCGAAGGACGGAGATGTCAGAAGGCCGTTGTAAAAGGCAGCTGCAGGAGCCCCTTGGCTTCCCAAGAGAAGGGGGCTGAAGCAATGGTGCGCTGGTGCGCTCCTGGCAGCGGCCGTGGGACACCCTGACAACAAAGAGTTAAGGGCTGATCCCTGAGCTGTGTAGGGAGTTTCCCCTCTTAATAGCTCGACTCAGAAGCTCTGCGGGCTGAACCTCCTGGAATTGTTTGGGCAAAGTCCTCTGAAGTGGGTGTTTCCCATTGTTACCTCTGGGGCAGACCTTGCCGGGAGCTTTTGAAGCCAACTCCCAGAAAAATGCATGTAGAACACATATGCACACACTCACACTCAAGACAGAGAAAGGCTAAGCTGGAGAATGTCACATCTTTCTCAGCTTCTCCTCCTGGCTCTGCGTTGATGTGGGTAAGACTCTGCATATATTGGTGTGGAATTAGACTGAAACTTAAGGCTCAGAACTGAAGCAAGTAGCTCACCAGATCCCATAGTCAAGCTTTTAATATGAAGTAATTGTCTGCTATGAGAATTACCCATGAGATGCCCCGATCCTCAGTAATCACCCCAAGTGGTAACTGAGAAATGGCATATCGTTAGACATGTAACCTGTCAGAGAAAGGAAATATTTATCCTGTGCTGCTTGGCCATGACATGGACTTGATTCAGTTCTTCATGCTTTTTTACAACTCTTGATGGCAAGTCAGGAAATATCATTAATTTCCCCCAGCAAAGTCCTGGGTACTTGCCTTCCTGGATAGCTGCAGACTGTTGTTATGGCTGGATCTAAAAAAACCCCGAAAACAAAAACTTACCACATGGCAAGGAGTTTAAGCTTTATGTAAGCTCCAACAGTTGTGTCAATAGAATCACCATACTCCAGTTGAAACATCTCTTGAAAATATTTCTCCATGGCAGCTGCCAGGGAATATGCATTCTCAAGGTAAGGGAAGTTCAACACACTGTATTTCTTTTTCTGATATGTTTGACCTTGGATCTCATCCAGGTTCTCCTGGCAGACTGTCAGCTCAGTAAACAGCTGTTCTGTATATGCTTTGGTTATTTTGCATTTGGTGTGGTGGAATCACCACTCCCATCTGGTTCTCATTTCTATTGTGAACTTGCTTTGCAACTACCTTATTCAAACTCATTCTTCTTCACTGATAACAACATTGGCACACGAAGACTCATAACCCACCCTTTCACCTGCTTTAATTGTTTTTCAAGTGTGGTGGAATGTTAGGCTCAAGCAACTCTATCTGCAGACTGAAATGACATGTCCCAAATATAAGCTTACTGGATAAAGTTAGTCCCAGTCCTGTCCATGTGACTTGCAGGGTTATTTTCTTCTACTGCTCAAGTGTACTTTGGCTCTTACACATTCCCTGACCACATTTTTTCTGTGACTTCTGTAATAAATTAGCCTTCCCTAACTTGATGTTCCCCAAATGTTTGGGGTATTACTTCCAGAAGTAGGAATTCTAGAGTTGCAGTCTAACGTATCGACTTGGAGAACATCATGGAAGGCAAAGTCTGCTACAGAAGAGTCACTGGAAGTCCTGCCCAGTCGTGTTTCCTTAGTGCATCTACTTTTTTGTGGAGACAGGCTAACACAAAGATACTGCTCCAGGATAGACTAGGAATAATTATAGATTAAAACTCTTAATTTCTCTTCACACAATGGTGTGAGCTCTTGACTGGTTAAGTAATGTTTAATTGTTCAGTATCTCAAAAGTCATGGCAAATAGAAACAAGATACTATTAAAATTAATTACAGTCCTTCCATTATTAAAACATTCATATGCAAATACCGAACAGCAAAATAGCACTTAAAGCTACTTGAGGAATGCTTTTTCTGTAGCTATGTTGGGTAAAAAAAATTGATTACACACCACCCATAAAACAGAAATTTCTCACCTCTGAAATTATACCTGTTCCTTAATTTTGAAATTGCTTGTCTGTGTGGGAAAAAAACCCCTGTAACAATAAAAGACTGAACTGTGTTTGGACACCTATCCAATATCTCCAAAAGTGTTTCTGTTGGAGAAGATTTCAGGGTTAGTGTTTTGCAAAATGCATCGGGTTGGATTTCCCCCCCTGAGCTTCAGCAGAGGGGGGTCTTCACTGGTTTCTTTCTGCTACTTCAAAGGGTTAGAGGTGGACCCTTCACATTTTACATTTGTGTATTAGTCTGTATTGGCCCAAGTTGAGAGCACTGCAGTGTTGTCATTACAGTGCTTGACTTGGGCCAGGAAAGGCCTGGGAGCTCACGAGGAAATTATGGATCGGTTTATCCCAGCCTCGGGAATTGTTGGGAGAACATTAGGAATGGCCCAGTGTTTGCCACCTTGAGTTCCTTAGGGCACTGGCAAGGTATACATGCAGGACACAGACAAGCCCTGACTTGGTTGCCTCTTGGGAGGATTCAAGACAGAGGTTAGAGAAACCGCTACTACATTGGAGTCTATCCCAAAATAACCGCAGAAGTCTGAGAGAGGGACATTCAGCAGTGGCTTGCCCTGTGTTTGAGGGCACAAAGAAAGTCGTGGAAACGTCTGCTGCGTCAGCCAGGATAGAAAACCACCTGAATGAAATCTCTGGCTTGCAAGCAGATGATGGATGGAAGATGGGACACCGAAGTGAGTGCCTCAGTGCTGGGTTGATGCCGTACATCAAGTGATTGCCCATTTCTGGTGGGAATGCATTTTAAGTGCTACTTATTGGTACCAAGACAGGGTAAAAATAGCCACTTCTTCTCTTGCAAGAGGCCAGAGGATGCTGTGATATGGTATTGCGCAATGAGCTGGAAGCTGAAGAAAATATTTGGGATCGGTTTCGTTCGAATTGTGCAATGCTGTAGTACAGCTTTCCCCAAATGAGTTCTCTTCAGCTTTGTTAGAATACATGTGCTTTATTTATTTTTACTGATAACATTTTAAGCCACTTTTTATTGTTAAAAAATGATTGTAAGCAGAACCTGGGCTATGTTGATAGAAATGGTGTAAGTTGTAGTGTACCACATCTGGTAGCTGGGGAAGGTCAGCATAAAGTGATCCTTCCATCACAAGCAAATCTATTCTGTATCCAGAGGGGAACCCTTGAACCCGGTATGTTGTGTTATTTTTCTTCAAAACAAAGTTTTTTCCTTTCTCTGTAGAAGGCTCAAGCGTTATCTCCCTCAACCCTGGAAATACAAAGCATGTAGTTCTGTTTTTTTCAGCAAGTTGTTCAGCAAAACAGCCACACTGTTTTATCTGTGTTTTATCAACACTGCGTTGCAAAGAAAAGGCATATTTACACATCCTTGCTAGACAGTTTGGCTTTAATTTAGACATGAATCTAGTTTGCAGATATGCTGCAGTGTTCTTGAACTTTTACTGCTCATTGTCCATGTTGTTAAGATAATTCATCTTCCAAAGTTAAAGAAATCTACAGGTGAAGAATCTACAATGAAGCCTACCAGACAGAAAATCCTGGTCAAGATATAATATGGGCGCTTCTCTTCTTGCTTAAATCCTTGAAAGCTTTTCTTGTGTAAGAAGAAAAGTTTTCCATCAACTTGTGTGTCAGTGTGCATGAATGGAACTGACACACAGGAAGTGACATTTGTGCAAGGATGGAACAAGGGGGGAAGTGGAAGACACATCCATGCACGCAGAGCCCTTCTCCCTCCAGATGTTGCTGGATCGCATCAGTCCTGACCAGACTGGCCAGCGGTCAGAGATGGAGCGAGGGATACCCAGCGGGCTCTGGAAGCCCATTGCTTTCATGGCCATCATCGTAGGAATAGAAGCAAACCATCAGGTTGATACCATGCATTGCTCAGGCATGTGTGGTGATGAGCTACAGGATGTGTTCAGGGCACATTTCAGAGTAAACACTGAAGATCAGAAATGATACTGAACTGAATTCTGACTTTTTGCAGGTTTCTGATCTATGGACATATAAAGGATGTATGACATGTTCATTACCATTTTCAGCATTTACCTCCCTCTGCACAGACATAACAGATACGAAGAGAAGGGAAAATAAGACTGGGAAATTATCTCATATTGTCCCCTGTTACCTCCCTTAAATGTTGCAGCTTTTCAGGCAGAACCGCCTTTATCTTGTATTTTCCTAATCATTATCCACCAAAGATTAGAGAGATGGGGTGTACTTTTCGGGTATCCTGAACCTGTCCATCTGGAATTTGCCTGGTTGATCTTCCTACAAAGGGATGTCTGCAGAATACACTGAGTTGCCCCAAGAAATAAAAGCCATCAATTCTTCTAAAAAGCAACACACACAATACACACACAAAGATGTACAGGCAATTATAGCAAAACACGAATTGTCCCAAATTTGGAAAATTTCATCCCTACAGTAATGGATTATTATTTCTGTATCCAGGAAGGCTCTTTATTGATTTCTAATTACAGCCAGTAAGAGATTCAGTCTCCAAACTGAGACTTGGAATTGGTGGGGAGGGGGCTTTACATCAATCAGAGGCATAGTGGATTGTTTTCTGAATCACCGGTCGGGGGCCTGAACGGAATCTCGCGTTAGTGAAGACTCCTGCTTTGTTTTCTCCTTCTCTGCTAATATGCAGCTGTTTCGTTTTGTAACTGTCTAACTTCGTCTTCTGATTTTGCCTCGGAGGCATATTCCTGAGGACTGGTATAAGCGCGGCTGAAACATAACGCGTAGAGCAGCTTGTAGGCAAAGGCTTCTGCTGTCCGGCCAGTAACCCGTACTCCATCCTGCTCTCTCCTCTTTAAGCGAGTTTGTACTTACAGGGAACTGAGTGACGGTCGGAGGACGGTCCCTGCCGGGGCGCATGAACCGGGTGAGGTTTATAAGTCAGCCTCCACCAGCGGCCGTGCCCATCCTGGCCTCTGAGAAAGTCAAGGGAGCAGGAGGCTCCTGGCCAAGCGGCGGGTGTGCCTGGGGTGGTAACCAGTATTCTGGTCTTCTTTCAGTCCCCGGTAGATGGATACGGACATGGACTACGAAAGACCAAATGTTGAAACCATCAAGTGTGTTGTCGTTGGGGATAACGCGGTGGGGAAAACTCGCTTGATCTGTGCAAGAGCCTGTAACACCACCCTGAGCCAGTACCAGCTGCTAGCAACACACGTCCCAACCGTGTGGGCCATTGATCAGTATCGGGTCTGCCAAGAGGTAGGTACGGCTTTGGCATGGAAAAGGCAGATAATTCTGAGCGCCTGCCTGGAAGGGATGGACGGAGACCTGTGGGTTGGACAGAGGGAATTCAGGACAGAGGAGTTCAGTTGTTTAGAGGGGGCCAGAGGATGGCTCCTCCACCTGTACTCATAGAACGTGTCCTGAAATATTTGGACTACTTAACTGCATACCTATGTCATGGTGGAAGGTTCATAGACATGTCCTTGCGTGTGCTATTGATTAGCTCAGAAGATTGAGATCTTCTGGCCAACTTGTCCTCCCCTGTCCATCTTTTTAGCTGCTCATCTTTGCAGTTAGCTGGCCAGAGAAATTCCCCAAAAGATTGTTCTACGTGAAAACAGTTGGTAAAGAAGATAGATGGTACAGCAAGTGTAATCTGTCCTATGCTGCTAGAATTTTAAAAAATGCATGGGATCGCACCTTCTGTGCAAGTGTTACAGTCCAGCAATTCTACTCCAGCTGATTTTCATAACTGTTGGTCTTGTTAATAAACTCCATGTCAGGTCTAAAACCTGCCAGCCCTCAAACCTACTCTTTGCAACCACATATTGCCTTCAAGACAGACCTTAATGATGTACTTTTCTTTTGTGTCCTCCACAGATAGATTAAAATGTTGGATAATTATTGCTCATTTGTTGCACTGATTTCATAAGGGGCTTAGTTTAATAAAGATGGTCTAGGCTTAAGCCTTTCGTTAAGAAATCCTGTTACGTACAAATACATAAAATGTGTCAATTTAGCCCCAGGTTTAACCATGACTCCTGCTGACCACAGTTTAGGATGCTTCAGAAAACCAAGATTTAACAATCTGCTTCCTCTCGGCTTTTAAGACTCTTCTGTACAGAGGAAGAGATGGTCAAGTATTCATATGTTATGCCAGACTATAATTAGCACAATACTTTTCAAACTTATTTCAAGCCATGGTTGCCGATTCGGGTTTGGGACTTCTTGATTTGGGCTCCTGTCAGATCGTAATTTGGTGAGATACCTGAATTGAGGATCTGATGGTCTCCAGCCTTTTGCAACCCAGAAGGTGGCATCTTGCAGCATCCCTGACTGTAAGCTTTGCTGGCCTCAAATTATTGGGAATTAGGTCCATACCATATCCTCAGGTCCCTTAACCAAGGAGCAAGCCTTTAACTAACAGACGTGTCTCCGTTCCAGGTTCTTGAACGGTCCCGTGATGTGGTTGATGAAGTAAGTGTTTCTCTTAGGCTCTGGGACACGTTTGGAGATCACCATAAAGACCGACGTTTTGCTTATGGAAGGTCAGTCTAAGTCAGATGTCCTTTTTGTGGCAAACAAGCTAATAGGAGAATAATTACAGCTTTGGGGGTCAAAAATCTGGAGTAATGAATCTGAAGAAAATACTATATATTTCATAGCTCATTCATAGAACCATTACACAATTAAATTAATAATTACATTAACTATTTTTATTTGCTTGGCTGGCCATAAAGAAGAGTGGCCGATTGAGTTACTGCTGAATTGGGAGGGTTTTGAAGACCTGCAGTCACTTGTGATTCCATGGAGGGTGAAACTTTGCCTGTCAGTTCCAGATTAGTGGAATCTGACTAACAAGGAAGGGTCAAGGTCTGCTGTTAACTGAAGACCATGTTGGTATGACTGGAGAACGTTCTGTAATCCTAAATGCATTAATGCTGCAGTCTTTATAGGATCAGAGTGCAATACTTGCTTAACATTCCTGCAACCAATTTGGAATTCATTAAAGCCCCTTCAGACTTTCTCTCTGGTTTGGTTTATTTTTAATTTAAAAGTAACCAAAAAGAACAGACCTTTATGTCATAATTGCATGCGTGTCAAATACATTAACATCAGCCCTGGAGACTGGTGGCCGAGATCCAGAAATTCTTTTGGCACGGGTGTCAAAAGTGATTTGTTATGTGGCATGGAAGAGGACTAAGCACGAAGGCACATCAGATCAGCCACACAAACCTTGTGCCGAAGCAGATGTTCAGCTGCTGATGCGGCATTTGCATTAATACTTTGGGTTTATATTGATGACTTTGTTCTGGACTGTGCTATATTTGCCTGAGCTAATCTGCAGTAATTTAAAGCAGACTTCCCCAACCCTGTACCCCCCAGGTACATTGGACTTCAGCTCCCATAATCCCCAAGCAATAGGGCTAGTTGCTGTGCCAGTGGGTGAATTATGGGAGTTGAAGTCTGACACATCTGGAGAGCATCAGGTTGAGAATCAAGGAGGAGATGAAATTTGGAATATCTGTGGATTTACTTCCAGTAGCAGCCCAAAGCCGTTGAGTTCACAGTGTTTGCGTCCGCTGCTTCATCCGTAATATGTTCCTGGCATCGTATTCCCGGCAGTTGCTTTGGGAGAAGAGGAAGAGAGGCCAGCAACGAACTGCGTCTGCGAGGGAAGACTCTAGAGTGAAGCCACTATCTCTGGGAGGCTCACACCCGGGGCGGAGCAGCAAGGAGGTCTGGGGCAGAGAGTGGGGTCCTCCTGGCTGCTCCCAGCTCACCTGTGGGGTCTCTGGGGAAGCAGGGGCAGTAGCACAGGCCGTAAAAGAGAAGCACGAGGCAGGAAGGAGTTGGGGTGGAACAGACCGGGCTCAGGAATGCTGACCATCAGCCTTCCCCCACTGACCTCGTGGCACCTTCTGGGAAATAAGTCATCTAACAACCAGGTTTAACAACCTTCCAAGCCTTGGTTAACAAACACAGTTAAATAGTTTAAGTACATTTAAGTGCCTTTCCTAAAGGTTGCAAAATAGATGGCATAAGCACTAAATGTTACTTTGCCAAATATCTGCGTGCTTAAAATTCAGCGGTTCCTGCTTCGGCAGGACTACCTGAACCCGGGTTTCCCCTCCTGGAGGTGCTTTTCTAATATACGACAAAAGGGTTCATCACTGAGTAGCTGGTGGAGATATAAGGGCAGAACGAGGAGCGTCCCAGGATTTGCTGAAACGAAGGGGCTGGGAGAGCACCTGCTTCGGCCACCCTGCAAAAGACCTCTGGGAATAATTGCCCAAGCAGAACTGCGGAGTTCTTAAATACTCGGCCTATGGATTATTTTAGCGTCAGTAGAATTTACCCACAGTAACGTCATGCTATAAATCAGCAGAGCTCGTGTGGGTCTTTGCAGGGTTACACTTACAAAAAGCAGCCAGCCCCCTTCCTCCTCTCCCTTTCCAGGGCCAGGTCTCCCCTCAGGCACCACCACTGATGTTCGGGGCACCATCTCCCCGGGCCAGCCTACGGCTCTTCTTCCAAGCAAATTTCCTGCTTTCCTGCCTTTAGCCATCGCCAATGCCACACGCAGGCACCCCTCTGTGCCTCCCCGGAAACGTCGCTGCTACCGTGGCCAAGGGCCGTGCCTGCCACTGCTAAAAAGACCCCTCAGGAGGCCATTTCTGCTGGGAAGAGCCACGTTTTGAACCACGCAGAGAACACGGAAGCCCACTTTTTTCTATATGTGGACAAAATACCCCAAACACGCCTCTTTCTGTTCGGACTTGGGCTTCCGGCAGCTGCCATCTCTGGACCTCGCGTGGTTCGAGCAGGAGGCTGTTGTGGGCTGCAGTGACGAGAATGGCCCCCGCCCTGCCCTGCCCCCCGCCCCCGGAAACGGTGTATCTGGTGAGCCATCTGAGCCTGGGCTGAGATTTCAGGTGACGATGCTGACACGGTTTGTGTGGTGGATTTTGGAGACCACCAGCAAACATTTCAAAAGAAAGGAAAGAGATCGGCTGTCTGCAGCAGTCGGAGCATCGGGAGGAGGACCAAGTCTCACTCTTTCCTAACTCCCTTCGCTCACCTCGGGAAGGGAGGGAGGGGCTCTAAAATATATTCCTAATGCACCAAGAAGAGAAATGCGCTTTGCAAATACACGTCTCCATAGAGACACACTGAGCAGAGAGACATGATTGGCTGCAGCTTCTGGCTGAGGGCATACCATTTAATTGCCTGAGTCACACTTTGGGCTGGATGGGAATAAGATTCATTAATTTTTCCCCTGTGAACCCTGAACCTTTAAAGGGATCCCTGGCATACTTTCTTTTCCTTCAGAAACTGTGTGGAATCACCCTTCATAGCTTCCCCGTGGTTTATCTCAGGACCTGTTTTGTGTTACTGGTGTTAAATGATTGGCCCCTTTGCAAATGAGTGCTTGACCCACCATCAAGAGGAGGGGGAGCTGACCTGCTCGCTGCATAGTTGAGGCCTCGTTCTGGTCCTCCTTGCCCCCAAATGCCGCTCAGAAGTTGGGTAAGAGGGGCCTTTGGTTATTGGGGAGGAACGTAGAATTGCAAATATGTTTGTGCACTTCAACATCGTGATCCTGGTGTACTTCTAAATAAACTGAGCCTCGAATATTATTTCCCCCCCCCCCATTTTTGAGGGGGGATTGAGATGTAAAGTTTACGTAAAACAAAGGCCTCTTCATTGCAGATCCGACGTTGTGGTCTTGTGCTTCTCCATTGCTAACCCCAACTCCCTGAATCATGTGAAAACCATGTGGTGCCAAGAGATCAAGCACTTCTGCCCTCGCACTCCTGTCATTCTGGTGGGCTGCCAACTGGACCTTCGCTATGCTGACCTGGAAGCTGTCAACCGAGCCAGGAGGCCATTGGCCAGGTACAGCTGCACGCGGATAAAACTCCACTCCCTCGTGGCGGTAAAGCGGCTCCGTGGCTCTGCTTTGCAGAAAACGCAGCCCCCTGGCTCCTAAGGAACCATTTGAAGTGGACTTCCATGTCCGGTTTCTTCAGTTTATAACTAAATACAAGTTAAAAACAAAATTAATGCCAAATCAATTAACAGTTCCATACCCGGAGGGGGGATCTCTCAGATAGGTGGGTCCCTCAGATGTTCAGGACTTTGACGGTCAACCCCAATGGCCTTCCCTGTGCCTGGGAAAGGAGGGCGACCAAAAAGGGAGACGTGGAGGCCAAAGGATTCCGAGAATACGTCCCTGAATGGGTGGGGTCCACCAGTGTCATTCAGTGAGCCTGAACGGTGTGTCCTCTTCCTTTTCACTCCATTTTGTTTACAGGCCTATCAAAAGGGGAGACATCTTGCCGCCGGAAAGAGGCAGAGAAGTTGCTAAAGAGCTTGGAATACCATATTACGAAACCAGCGTATTTGACCAGTTTGGCATCAAGGACGTGTTTGATAATGCAATTAGAGCCGCCCTGATTTCCAGGAGACATTTACAGTTCTGGAAATCGCATTTGAAGAAAGTCCAGAAACCTTTACTTCAAGCTCCGTTTCTACCTCCAAAGGCACCTCCTCCTGTTATAAAGATCCCAGAGTGTCCCATCACCAAGATCAACGACGTGGGATACTTACTGGACAATCCGTTGTGTGCGGACGTGGTGTTTATTCTTCAGGAGCAGACTCAGATCTTTGCTCACAAGATCTACTTAGCTACCTCTTCTTCCAAGTTTTATGATCTTTTCTTAATGGGATATGAGGAAACGCAGGGCTTGACCGAAACCTTTTCCCCTAAAGGCGGGGCTCTCCTGGCCAGAACCGGCGCCCTTGAAGCCGAGGGCAAGCGGGGGGACGGGGCGGCTGCCGCGACTGACTGCCTGCGCCCTGGTCTCGGGGTAGAGCCCGAGGCAGGAGAAGCCGCCTGCCTGAAACAGGGGCCGACGCTCCGGGGCAAAGGCTTCGTCAGCCTGCATCAAGGGAGGCACGTCAACCCTGCTTCGAAGAGGGCGTGTGCGGTGACGGTCGTCAGGATGGAGGCGTCCATCCAGCCCGGCCCTTTTAAAACTGTCCTGCGGTTTTTGTACACTGGGCAGCTGGACGAAGATGAGAAAGATCTCACCCGGGTGGCTCAGATTGCTGAAATACTGGAAGTGTTTGACTTGCGGATGATGGTAGAAAACATCACCAATAAGGAAGCCTTCATGAACCAGGAAATTACAAAGGCTTTCCACGTCCGGAAAGCTAACAGAATAAAAGAATGCCTTTGCAAGGAGACATTTTCTGGTGAGTGCACGTGGAAAAATCCCTCTGCTTTGCATTTTGTCTGAATTAAGTTCAAACGATTGTTCCAGTCACGATAAGGAAACTCGGATGGTTGTGCGCAAACCAAGGTCCAGTTGGGACATCCTGAAGGGTCCCAGGAAGGGCTGCTTTGTGCCCTTGGCCAAAACAGGGGTGCTGCTGTCTTCCTTGAGGAGGGCAGCTAACGCTACAGCATCTTTACCCAAAGAAGAGTAAATTCCCCCCACCCACAATTACTTTTGAAGCCTGGAGGAGATTCCCCTCTAGTTGCAGGACAGAGGGAAGGAGCAGATGCTGTTGACAGAGAGATCCGAGT